CAGGGAGTTACAGCAAGGGTCACTGGATTTCCCAAGTTTCAATATGTTTAGTTTTATTGGAACTTGAGGTCCAAAAACCAGAAAATCAGGGGTTCACCCGATAAAACTGCAAGTGCAGGCAAAGGGAGTGGACATGCACCACCAACATTGGCCAAACGCTTGCCTTCCTCAGGGAAACCCTCACATGAGCGGTGTCTCTTTTCTTGCCAAAACAAATAGAAAGGGTACCATCAACAAAGGACCCACACATTGACATGTACATCAAGGTGGTTTCCACTACCCCCCCCCAAACCACGCCCAGGGGTTTAATGAAAAAAGAAACACCAGGGCTTTTCTCTCAAAACTATCCCGTTTCCTTTAAATGGCTCCTGGCTGGCATTCAAACGGCAAAAGGAAACCAGCCACTTTCGGGTACCCATTCAGACCTCAAACGCCAAACTCCCAGCCAAAAGAAAAAAACAAGGGCACCCTTTCACTGGTTGATGTTGAGAACCCCCCCACAAAAATAAAGGCAGCACGGTTCAGCCAGGCGATGCCCCCCAGATCTCCTCAGCTTCCGCCTGAAGGTTCACATCGAGGCCTCAGATCGCTCAGGACCAGCTGTGTGATGCCGCGATTCTCTTTTATGAGGCTGTGAAGGCTGCCTTCTAGTTAGTCTATTTAGAAAACAAATGTCGTTTGATGGTACATAGTCTCTGTATGGGTCGTTTTTCTAGTTGGTATATCTGGAAAACTAACGTCGTTTTGTTGGATATATAATCCCTTTCTTGGTCAGCGGTTTACATCCTACCCAGACATTTTGCTGAGGCTTTTTGAGTTTGCGGGGGTCCTCCCATTCAGAGATTCAGATGCATGCCCACTAGGAGAACTCGAGCCGATTCCTGGGTAGGTGCTCGGAATCGTGGACCCCTTGGCGGGCATGATTCAAGGATTGTCTCACGGAGCAAAATATCGAAAGCGAGCTTCGGGCTTGGTGTCCATTTAAAAAAAAAGGGGGTAGCCTCAAAAGGACAGACCCAAATGACCCAAGAGGCTCTTTTTGGGCTTCATCACAGATCCGTGCTGAGTGGATGAAGCAGAAAGGTTGTGTCAACTTAAAAGCGATCGCCGACCGGGCGTTGCGGTGGGACCGCAACGAGGGGTGTCTCGTTTCGAGCGTGCCCTTGGGGCCAGTTTGAAGCAAAGGGACACCACCAATTGTGGGGTTCCCCTAGTTTGACACAAACCTATTTCGTTAGTGTTGAACCAGGGGCTTCTGAAAGATCAGGTGAACCCCAAGTTCTCTCCCAAAGGCGTTTTGCATGAGACTATGGTTTATAAACCTCCGGGAAAAACCACCCACTTGCGCTTGTCTCAAACTAAGGCAACGTATGGATGGTTTCCTTTGGTGTCCCTTTAAAACAAGCCAAGGGTACCCTCAAAAAAGACAGGCCAAAATGAAGACGCGGGGACTGGGTTTGCTGATTAAAACAGGGCCCCCTAAAACCCTCCGTCCAAGCATGCCGTCTTCTTTCGTTTATATACTTGGAAAAACCTGGTTTTCATGGGAAGTAACGCTTTAAGCCAGGGATTGACATCAGACACATAATATGTTGTGTAGAGGGTACCCTTGAGTGACATTCCTGCTACTGTATAAAGCCTCTCGGCTGAGTTCCACAAAGTCAGCAACAAAGACACCTCCAGAGCTTCCTGTCTACGGACGTGACAAAAACAGGCCCGGTTGAATTTGAAGGGAAGCAGATTCCAAAGAAACAACAAAGCTGATGCCACCGGGGCAACTAGCATAAGGCTTCCGATGACGTAGCAAGTATGCAACAAACTGATAACAACCACTCAAAGATGTCCCAAAGGAAAGCCATCTGCCCAGCCTGTTCACCTCCATGAGTTGGGCAGGTTGTGCTGCCGTGACCGCAACAGCCCTTCCGCTGAAGTACCAAAGTCACGACCCGTTCCGGTCGTGGATTTCAATGTCCCATTTTTGAGACAAGCCCGTATTGCCTTGCGCCAAACCAGCCCAAAAGCGAAGCGTCCTAGGCCATACCGCTCAGGCCCCAGCACGGCAGTTGCACCTCTCTTTTGCAATCGCTTGAAACATCGTTCACGTGGAGCGTGGTCGTTCAGCCCTCAATCTACTCCCCTGCAACAGGGATCCTTAGATTATACCCCTGAACACTGCCTTGTACATGGTGGCTTCCCTTTATTTTGGTGTTGAAAAAGCAACATGTTTCAAATGGTTGCAAAATGAATTTCTTTTAAGGAGCCCTGTGCAAACTTACTTGTACCTAACCCAGTGGGGCCAAGGGAGTCCTCCAAGACAAAAGCTCCATATGCAGGGGACTTGGAATTCAAGTTAAAACTCTTTCCATGACTCTAGAAAAGGACAAAGATATGCCACCCCTCAACGGTGTTTGCGAAAATCCGAAAATTTGCCGAGTACTGTTCAACCAGCTGGGGGGTGCTGGTATACGGGCAAAAGCTTAATCTCCATGAACTCAGGGAGTGAGATACACATCAAATACAATCAGGGTATCGAAGAATCATCTGCGCACAGCCATTTCACTGTCGAACCAACTCCTTGCAATGTGAAGCGCACGTGTTTACGCTTTAACGCGCTCACATCCTCATGTTCAAGGAAACAATGTGGCCACAGGATGGATGAACACACAAGGATTCGCATCACAAGAAATCTAAAGTGAGAAAGAGGGCTCAAACAGGTGCTCAAAATGCCATCCCCTGAAAATCCTGTGGGACTGGTCCGACGTCCATGCTTTTACTTTAACAAGGATGGTCTTGCCATCAAAGCTATCGCACAACTCGGGCTTACTAAAATCATACTGGACTGACACGCACACACACACACGTAATGATAATTGCCGCAATCTGAGTCGATTTCATGCCATGCAATGATAGACATTTGTTGGGGAAGCTCGACCACAAAGATCGAAATGACTGGTCTTCCCAGCCGGTCTTTTGGCCTAGGAAATATGGGTGGGTGTTTGGGGTACCCTTTTGGGGTAATTTAAAGGGCAATTCAGGGGAAAACCGCTAATCTCTCTTGGCACTCCTTTTTGGTAATTAATCTCAAACTTACTTCCTCAGTGGACTGGCAAAGGTAACCAAACTTGTTGTTTGCCACTGTAGTGGTCCAAACCCAAATATGTTAAAGTGCATGAACTCAGGACGTGAGTAAAGGGACACTTCCCATCCAAAAGAAAGGGGAACAGGAAGAAACCCGACACACCCCGTTTATCATTTCTGTCATGTGATGCACATGGGCATGTGCCGTTTTTAAGGATACCCAGTTATTGTTGTTTTTTGAGAGTGTGTGTCTGTGCGTGCTGGAAAGGGACACCAACACAACGACATCATTTTGGGTGTCACCACATTTCCGCATTGCTCACGCCCGGTGTTCTGAACCTAGAGGAGGTTGAGGCTTTGATGATCTCAATGTCCGATTGGACCACCAAAGTACAAACTGATTCCTCGTCTCTTAAAGTCTTACTTCTCCAAAAATATCCCCTAGCTTAAAAAAAAAGCCGCCGCCCTTGGCCGACCAAAATAACAGAACATGGACAAACAACGTGTACATTTCAACAGCTATTGCCAATACGTCTACCAAAAATGACTCTCTTCATAATCTCACGGGTTGCTTCCCCCAAACAGGAAAACATCGCCGGAAGCGCAAGACTTCCTGCATGCTGTACGGTTTGACAAGGCTTCTCCAATACAAGGCTCTCCTTCCTGGTGCTCCGGATCTGAAATTTAGAGAAGCACTGCTTCCTTTCACCTAGATTTGGACCTGGAAGTGAAAGGTGATCCCCTTTGTTGCCAAGCTGAAGAGTGGACCGACATACTGTGGATGGACGAAATCCTGCACCACCTAAGAAGCCCTGGAATGATGATTCCCCGGTAAATACCAACGAACAATGGTTTCCCATGGTTTCCAAGTGGTGCGACCGGATTTCGCAACCATCCACAGTCGGCCCGGACCCGGAGGGCCGGAGAGCGGAGACGACCGGATCACGGGAGGCATGGGAACTCTCAACAAATGGGATTACTTTTTCTGGACTTTGTCGACCAAAGGGGGGCAGTTGTTTTTTTTTGGCAGGGGTACGCAAACAGTAATTCAAGTCCAATCCAGGAGGTAAGACACTTTGATCTCGCTCCCCGAGATTGCCAGAAGCCCAAACCACTTCTGGGCCTCTAAAGTTATTTTCCCACAAAGTATTTCGAGTCCAGGTCGGGAAGTGAGTGACCCGTTCATTTCTTTTGGACAGTCCCCCGACTCCAGTGTGGCCTTCGCTCGTTCGGGCTTCGGCTCGGTTGCCACGACCCCCTGGCGCCAATGAGAACGATGGGACCAAAACCTCAAAACATGTTGAACAACACCTTATATACATGGTACAGCTGGAAAGAAATATGTAAATCACACGGTAACTCATATTTAGTTGGTATACTCGAAAAATGAACAAATCCTACAAATCCGAACCTGAAGCCAGCTTTTGCTGGTTGGTACATTTGGAAACTGCAAACTCCAGAATTCCAATGCATGAACTCAGATTTGGATCCCACAAAGCCACAAAGGACCTGCATCACGGGTGTCCTCGTTTAGAGAGCTGGAAAAAGAGGCACGTATGATTACGGGTGAGCCGCAAGGCGGATAAAGCTTGCGAACAGATTGCCAAAGGATTCAATACCAACTGGTGTCTGTCTTTCTTGCAGGTTTTATAGGGAAACCCTCGAAGCGGGTTTTGCAGTACCGGGCTGGGATGTGTTTCCCAATTTGCACCATGGTTCTTTTCAATCAACCATCCCTAGGCATGTGAGGGTGTCTTCTTTTTGCGGGTACCCCCTTTCTTGGTGGTTTTAAGGGAAACAAAAAGGAAAGCCGGAATTCATGTTGGAATCTGGAAGGTGCTCTACTAAAGACACACATTTATCCCCATGAGAACCAGAAGCTCAAATCCCCAAACCACCAATTCAAAGCATCGTGCCTGATTTCAGGGAGCGCCAAACAAAAATGGAACGCTGCACACAATTGCACAAGCGCTCCGCCTCAGTACCAATCTCGGTGAAACTCGGTCGTCTGACCTGAAAGGTACAAAAGTAGATTGGAACCATGTTTGGTTTTTGTTGTTAGTAAGGAACCCCCAAACTTCACAAGGCAAAGGGGTAATTTGGCGGGTGCCAAAGTGGGGCATGCCTCAAAGTCGGCAATTCTCCATGCGCCCAACCACACCCTTTGCATCCGTTTAACTGCATGGTTCAGTACTCCGAGTGGATCCAACCGCAGGTGCCCCACCGCCCGAACAAAAAGGGCAAGGGGATGGCTAACCATCAAGTTTAACATGAACGCGTGGTATGAAGTCCCCAGTTGATTAGTTAGTCTGCTACTAAGTATGCCTTAATAGTTGATGGACACCTGGCAACCAAGGGCCCCCAAATGCCCAAGGGTTCGCATATTTGACACAGGGTTGTTCCCTAAGGGGTTGGGACAAACCAAAATGAGTGGTTGAAACCAGAGATATCTTTTTGCAGCGCCCGTTTCAACTGTTGGCTCGGGCAACATGGCTAGGCCTTGTTAGGCCTTGCTACCCATCGGCGGGTAGAAACCACACATACCAGGCTGGCCAAAAAAAATCGGCAAGCGGATGCGCCTCGCAGCCCTCGAGCGGACATTTCTGGGCCTCGGCAAGCCCCACTAGTGGGGGTCATGAAAGTGCCGTCCTCAAACGGCTGATAGGAAAACCACGCCCAAGACTAACTTGAACAACCCTGGAACATTTCACTCGGACTAATTGGTGATTTGGATTGGTGGAGGTTAGCGTGTTGTTTCGCATTGAACCCTCCACAAGAACTAGGGGTTCAAATTCAAATCCCCAAACCACAAATCCACACAGCCAACTATAATAGGGTTGCCCGAGGTATATTCCTCTCGATCAACAAAAATAACTAGGTAAATAAGCGGCTTGATATGGGTGTGATCAGGGTGTCTCAAAAATTCGCTGCAAAAACTCGCACGCACTCCAAAAAGGGAATTCCAAAAGATTCACCCATCTACGGGAAAACTTAAAATGAACCCGTGCAATGGTAAATTATAAGGAGTGACCATTCTCAGCAACCCCAGTATAGAAGAGGAGTTTGACCACATCATCAAGCGACAAATGGTGCATGAGTCCATCTGGTCTTTCTGGTGCATTGGAGGCATTCCACTTTTCGTGCCGTGCTACAGTACCTGGCCTGGTCTGCAAACAAACGACTGTTCCTTTCTAGTGGGTTCCTTTGTTGGGTGGAAAAAGACCCATGATGCAAAAACAAGAAAAACACACACTCACATGTTCAGCAAACAATCAATATTATTTTGTGGGATGTTGAGGAACTCTGAACCGTTTGTTCACCCCATCAAATCGGCTCGACTTTGGGGTACGTTTCAATATAGAATAGGCTCTTCCATTTGCCTTTTCGTCCCCTGGATATAATGCAGACATGTCCATTCCCTTCAAAACCAATAGGGGAAATCATATAAAGAACATTCTTAAGCAAAGGGAGCAGCGTTTGGAGAAGACCCAATAAAGTCCAGAACTCACGTCCGATCGAGTGGGTTGGTGGCTCGCCTTCTTCGTTTGAAGAAGCACAAGAAGTGCTGAACCTTCTACTTGTTGGGAGGACCGGTTGACTGGCAAAGCAGCTTGACTGCTATTTGGCTGGATCCTTAACCCTTACTGTTTCAGGAAAAATGTCTCAGTTGCCCAAAGCCGACCTTTTGACCTTTTAGTTTCCCCATGTTGGTCTAGTTTTAGTCTTGGCCCCAAAAGGGTAACCATTGTGTTTATCAGAGTAATCTGCTGTCCCACTAGTGAGCCAAAGGCGTGGCTGGGAACTGGAACAAAACATGAAATACGGGCGTGGCATTTGTTGGGGGAACAGCTTTTGTGGTGGTTTTAAAGGGATACTCGAAGTAAACTAGCCTTTGTTTGGTGTCCCCCATTTGAAGACAAGCCCATGTATTGCAAGTGGGAAACTGGACGCATCTGTTATCTCCCGCTGTTTTTGGATTGCCTGCCCCAGGGATCCAGTCACCAGTCTGCAGGGATTGGGGAGCTGGGAGCGAGTCTTGTTGGGAGAGAACCCCCAGTTGTTGGTGTCTAAAATCCGAGAGACACACCCCTATAAATAGAGGACACACCCCTATAAAATAGAGGATCCTGCAAGTTATAAATGGAAGATCCAAAATCCGAGATCTATTTTGTTTGTGACACACCCCTATAAAGTCCAGGAGCAGGCTCCCAGGCATCGCTCGGAGAGGAGCCGGCCTTGCATGAGAACAGCGGCGTTTGACCCACGCCCAAGCAATGTACCAATGGGATCTTTTCTAGGGTATGCAGTGTCAACACCTGACTAACAAGCAGGTGTCTAGAACTAAAACCAGGCTGTTCCAAACATACCATTTCTAAAAGCATAGGCTGCGCTACAATGCCAGTCAAGCCAGGTCGAACCAACCAAAACGGCCAATAAGAATTGGTTTCGGGCGCTGCCGAATCAGCCGAACAAGTCTGAACTCTTTGCTTGCTACTCAAATGGGTGTCCTTTTTCGGGGGCCCCCAAAACGGTGTTTCTTCGTTCGCTTTCCTTCCGCACAAAAGAAGGGGGTACCCTCAAAAACCACGCCCAAATAATCAATCTTCCCCAATGGAACTTCAGGACTTGAGACCTCGAGAAAGGGGCCAAAATAATACACACAAGTGTCTCTTATGATTGGTTTGGGTTTGAAGACCCCTCTACCAACTTCTCATCATTCAGGCACGAGGTGCACTTTGAGGATGGCTTCTTTTGAGGCTAGGCGGTCAAATTGCCTTTGAAGGCATTTGGACCCTTGCGCGTGCCCGCGTGTGTCTTTCTTCACAAACCAATCAGCTGCAAAACCTCCTGTTGGACAAGGACAAGTCCTAGCCTAAAATAACTGAGGGCATTTGGAAGTTGCGGGATGCGTGCTGCTTGAAGCTGATCACCAATCGAGCTGCAAATCAGTGTGGGTTTGAGGCAATGAGGCAAGCACCAGAGGCTTCAAAGGAAAAGGTATGGCCTGCAGGAAAAGGCACGACCAAAAGGAAAGCGCCCAGTGGGACAAATTTGTTTGCCCTCAGGGTTGTTCCAATTCAGAGAAAATCGATTGCTCAGAACATTGGCCCGAGCAAACTTGTGAAACCAAGGCGAAGGACACTAACCTGTACCCCAAACACCATGTTTGGGTGTCAAGAGATTCGGACCCCAAAATGGTGGTTCTCCCCTTGGTTGATGCTAAACCAACCCAAAAACGGTGCCCTCAAAAACAACAACGCCATTTTGCAAAACAAAACACCTCATTTTCAACGATGAACTCGGTTCTTTTGCCAGGAGTAGTCAAACCATACCCAACACAAGCGTGTGGGTAATCCTCCATACCTTGGAAATTGATCCCCCTTTTAGAAACTCGGAGCAACTCTGCTTTTTGGTGAATGCTCAACTCGCTGCGAATTAAGATGGAACCCAAAAGTGCACACCACAAATAAAGATGCTCTTGACATGATGTCAGTTGGATGAAAGTCAATAAGCAGGGGATTGGTTTTACTAAGGGTCAATGCTATCAGCTACCAAATGTTAACCCAGTTTCGGGGGCGGTTGACCTAGCTTTTGCCACAAGTATAGAACATATGTGCTGGACCTTGGTCTACATTTTGGGAACGTTATACTGTATATGCAAAAATGTATTTTTCAGAAGCTCGAGTTGTCTTCAGACACCCTGGAGCAACATAGACCACTTCTAATAGATTTTCCTCCCAGTTGATAAATGCAGCCTATCAGTCGTGCCCAACCCCCTCCCCCCATGAAACTAGAATTATGCCGACGCTTCCCCAACGACTTCTCTCTGGACCCTTGCTGCAGGCGAAGCAGGAGGTACCCAAATACTATGTTTACATGCGCTCACCTATTGCATCCAAATCCCTGGTGCGCCTTGGATGGTGCCAAAGAGAAGCCCATTTGGACCAGAAGCGAAGTGGAATGCCCCCCGACCGAGAACCTGATCCAAACAGGTTTTTCCAGAGAAATTATGTGGATGGACGAAATCCATTTCGCAACACCTAAATGATGATCCGCCTGCAAAGACAAACAAGCAATGGTTTCCCATGGTTTCAAGCTGGTGCAGGAATTCGTCCATCCACAGTATGGGTATGAATTCAAAATGGGGATCCTTTGGTGGTCAGACTTTGGGGTGGAGTCATGTCCACCAATCACTTTTAATGAAGGTGTTCCAACATCATACAAAACACTAAATCATAGCCAATTTCTTATTAGAGGGAAGTGACTATTGACACTGATTCGACGGGGGCCTTACACGCCTTGGGGGTGCTCTGTACATGGGTTAGAGAGAACATTCACCAGACAACCTTGACCAGACTCAGACCGGGACCCCGCAACAAGTTGTTAACTTGTTGCCGGTTGGAAGGAATTAACTTGTTGACGGTTGAAAAGAAACATGAAGGAAACCGCAAACAGGCAACACAAAATAAAAGGTCAGCGATCCGTCTGGCAATGCATCTAGGTTGCTCCTTTTTTCCTCTGTTTCCCAGCCCAAAAAAAAATATGAGGGGCTCCCTTATTTTGAGAGCTGAAACCTGGGTTGCTCCGTCAAGGTCTACAGCCCAAATTGACAGTGTGACACCCAGAGAATCAAACGGTGGTTTTGGGGCCTTTGGGGCTGTGGGGTTACCCTGAACACCAGCCATGACAATGAGTAAGTTTGACCACCAGCCCCTTCTCTACTGCCGAAGCCCTAGCAACCTGGCAGCCATTACCCCACATGGACAGTAGTTACGCGTCTTCCCAAGAAGCTAAACATTACTGTACAGATCCAACCAAGTACCAAACCTGTACCAGCGCAACTTCATGGCTGCTCCTCCTGCGAAAGAAGTTTGCCCAATGGTAGCTCACCAAACCGGCATGTACATCATTAACGCTGTCAGAAGCATCGTCGGTTTTCCAATGTCAACGCATATCGCCAACACCTGAAACCCGCCGGCAGCTACAGAATGATTCCACGTATCACCTGATTAAAGAATGCAAGCAACTCGCTTAAAATGTGCGTCCTCCAAAGGCAAACGCAGCATAACCCTTTAAGCCTTTGCCGTTTCGAATAACAACTACACAGCGTCCAGAGAATCTCCGGGCCAGCCCGTCTAAACACATAAATGCATAGCTGCATATGTCTTCTTCGGAGGACCGTTAAAACCACCAAAAAAGATAGAAAATGCACACAAAAAGAGAGAAACTCGAATAAGCTTCACTCATTTGTGGACTACCCTGCAAGAATAAAAGCCACACGCGTAAAATGCCGTATTTCAGGTGAACATCCCAATCCCCTGTAAAAATGGCTTCTAAAAATGGGTGGTGAATTCACCTACCAACCAAACTGCTACCGTTGATTTCGACCCACGCCCAGAAAAAGCAGCGGCGTGCGGCGTGCCCTGTGCCTGGGCACTCGGCTCGTCCAGCTCGTTGGACTGGGCAGCAAAAACGAATGCTTGGCTTCCGGATGGGTTCAACCGGTTCCCCCACACAAAAAATCGAAAGGCCCAAGGGGACCCAATGGTGTTGTTTTCCTTAACCCAGTCGTTTGATGCGTTTGCTTCTTGTTTTCTGAATCCCAGCTTTTATGGTTTGCAGAGTTGCGAGTTGTATGGGGACCCAATTCAATTTAGATGATGGGAAAATGGACCAATGGGAAGGAGAATTGGCTTCCCTTTCAGAGATCAAATGGGGAGCCATTTCCATCACTTCCTGCCTCCAACAAGTTGAAACAAGGAAGCGACTGGAGGTCTGGCTCATGGACAATGAAGCAAGCTTTCACCAAAGTCGCCCAAGTGGTAGGGATAACGGAAACAACCCCAGTTGCTGGCTTTGATAAACGATATAAACAGTCAACATAGTGACCTTACCCCGTTTACTCCAAATACCCATATGGCCATGGGTCAAAAGCCCGGTTACCCCCTAGTGAACATCGCAATGATCAATGCCCACTAAAATCGACAAAAATGGATGGTGCACCTACCCCAAGATGGTACCGTTGGTTTTGAACCATGGCCATATATTCGTGTGTTAACAAAAACCCACCCCACTCGAAATACTTTGTGTATGTTACGGATAACAACCGAGCCCCAAATGCCGAGCTCCGAGCGAGCTGCAGTCTCAGCTTCTCTTCCAGGGCCGTGCGGCTGTGCTGACTCTCCTGGCCGCACCGACCGCACCGCCCGCTTCGGAGCAAGGCCTGCTTCGGGAGGGGGGAAGCGATGAACCCAATTGGGATGAACCCAACCAGGGTTGTGGGGCAAGTTTTTTGGGGCAATTTTGTTTGGGGCAAACTGTTTGGTAGTTTCTTCTGGGCGTTTCAGCGGAGACAGAAAAACCGCCAACCGATCGGGGCGCTGGCTAGCTTCTTGAGTGGACTGGCCCAAGAAAACCGCACGTTTGTTCACCAGTATCATGGTGTTCCATATCTACTCTTGGTATGGTAGCAAAAAACTCTTTTTTAGCAGACCCCCAGTAAAAATGAACAGAACCAAAAAACTAAAAAACCAAAAAACATGCCAAAAACAGTAAAGGTTCGGAAAAAGTGGCTGAAGTCCAAGAACTCGCCAAAAAAATGTCGATCGAAGTGACAAAATTGCAGGGGCTGTTCGAGGGGCTTGGCATTTTTCGAAATCGGGAACCATCGACTGGTCCCGAAGGTCTGTAAAGACAAACTGGACTGGCAAGAAGTTCGTGTACCCCCCACTCCAAATACCCGCGTTTTTAGGGTATGATTCTATGATGTCGACCCTCTACGAAAAAAGGAGGTATTTACCATGAAAACCCAGGTCAAAAACATAATCCCTGACAACAGTGGGTATTTGAAGCAGGGGGTAAAGCTCCAGAGCACATTCGAACCTGTGACTCAAACCTGATGAACACCAGATGTCCCAAAGTTGCTCCGAACGAGCAGCTCGACCCTTGTTCGGTCTACCCCCGTAACCTCCAAGGACCTGTGTGGGTTGTATTTGTTTAGAGACACGAAAGGTTCTTCTATGGTAAATACCTCCTTTTGTACTAGAAGGTTGACCTGAAACCCTAAACAAGGTGGGCATTTGGAGTACATTGAGGGGCAATGGAAAAGCCAAGCGATTCGGGTACAAAGACCCTCAACCTTAGGGTAGAAAATCAGACTTGAGTGGATTCCCCCCCGCCAAAGCAAAAGCCCAAGTGTTCTTGTTTTCCACTAAATCATAATCCTAACATTTAAATAGAGCAAGTCCGCAATATAATACATATATAATATTTACACTGTTTCTACTTGTTTAATTTCTGTCTTTAGGCCCTAAGCGTAGGATTGATTTGGCTAAGACTGCCAGGATCCATGCGTTTGGGGCCCTGCCAAATGATGCACCGTGGCGCGGAAAGAGTTTGATTTCCGCCTGGATTACATATACAGCACCCTTAGGTTAGTGTTTTTTTCAGTCCAGGAACTGAGGGAATGAGTACTGTACAGCTACAAAACAGTGAACAAGGGTCATTACACGGGTTGTTCAACGACACAAGGGACACCAACACAAAATGATCCCGATTCAAACCATCATGCAAGACAATGGGGCTTGACAAAAAAACAACAACAAAAAACAATGGCTTACAGTACCTGATTGTCATATGAGGCACGGTCAAAATTACTTACTTACGGCCGTTTCGCTACTTACTTTGAGAGCCCCCTATCGTTTTCCATCATGTCCATCGTTTTCCAGGGGTATCGTTTTTTTGAGAGTCCCCTATCGTTTGCCATGGTTTTGTGCATTTTCACAATATCAACGAAACGACAAATACTAAACTCAACAGAAGTAATTTTGACGGTGCTTCATATGGCTTTCTTGGGTCATTCCTTTGGGCGGACTAAAACCCTGGTGACGTGGAAGTCCTGCCTTGAGCTCCTGTTGCAGGCGCTCCACCTGACGACTTCGCGGACTTTGGGGGGACCTTGGAGCTCGGATCCTAAAGCCAAAGCCATCAGTAGCCACAAGCGAAGTGGGGATACGGAGCCGGGAAAAGGGGGCCCTTGGTGCATCAAACGGGGGAACCCTCCCGCATCCCGATTTTTACCCCTAGATCCCTGCTTGGCTTCCCTGATTCCCTGATCAAAAGCAGATCCCATCCCAGCGGCCCGTGGCGGGTATGACGATTCGCCTGCACATCTGCATGCAGCTCATGGAAAAGGGGGGTCCCAAACGAATACCTGGACCTTGGGATTCAAAACACCATTGAAGCAACTGCTTACCTAATCAGCTTCATCATGTAAATTGGGTCAACCTTTTTTGATCCATGCTAGTCAGCGGGGCAACGCTCACATTCATTCTCACAGACACCCCTGAAACGCCATCAAGTAGGGGTCCCCACAATGCGCTTGCAACAGCACTCCGCAAAAAGGACACCAACCTGAGTTAAAACCCCAAGCTGGCGCTTCACCGTCCCCTCAGACATAGAAAACACCCTGTCAACTGGGACACCCTCTGAAAACGTTCGCGCCGACTCAAACAAAATCACACACACACACACACCACACGCGACACACACACCACGCACACCATACACACCCACACCAAACACACACACACACACCCAGTCCTCAAGCCCAGGGCCAAGACTTGTAGATAGCGGAAGCTTTGTTCAGCCAACAGCATGGACATTGCGGTTCAAGCAATGTGCTGTGCACTGAAAGGGCTGCAGTTGGAAAACTGTCAGAAAGAGGCCATTGCCTTCAGATGTATGCCTCACGCTTCCCCTTGCCTTTCTTAGGCTTGTCTAGGAAACAAATGAAACCGCTGGGTTTCAACACATATTAATTTATAATATATTCAATACATACATATACATACATACATACATACATACATACATACATACATACATACATACATACATACATACATACATACATACATACATACATACATACATACATACATACATACATACATACATACATACATACATACATACATACATACATACATACATACATACATACATACATACATACATACATACATACATACATACATACATACATACATACATTACATACATACATACATACATACATACATACATACATACATACATACATACATACATACATACATACATACATACATACATACATACATACATACATACATACATACATACATACATACATACATACATACATACATACATACATACATACATACATTACATTACATTACATTACATACATACATACATACATACATACATACATACATACATACATACATACATACATACATACATACATACATACATACATACATACATACATACATACATACATACATACATACATACATACATACATACATACATACATACATACATACATACATACATACATACATACATACATACATACATACATACATACATACATACATACATACATACATACATACATACATACATACATACATACATACATACATACATACATACATACATACATACATACATACATACATACATACATTACATTACATTACATACATACATACATACATTACATTACATTACATTACATTACATTACATTACATTACATTACATTACATTACATTACATTACATTACATTACATTACATTACACATACATTACATACATTACATACATACATACATACATACATACATACATACATACATACATACATACATACATACATACATACATACATACATACATACATACATACATACATACATACATACATACATACATACATACATACATACATACATACATACATACATACATACATACATACATACATACATACATACATACATACATACATACATACATACATACATACACATACATACATACATACATACATACATACATACATACATACATACATACATACATACATACATACATACATACATACATACATACATACATACATACATACATACATACATACATACATACATACATACATACATACATACATACATACATACATACATACATACATACATTACATACATACATACGTAGACATATATATATATATATATATATAGACGCTGAAGTACGCAGAGAGAGCATGACACCTTGTATGATCGAACTCACTTTCAGAATTGGTTGGTATTTACAGGGGAATCATCATTCCAGCGTTTCTTAGGTGGTGCAGGATTTCGTCCATACACAGTATGGTCTTTAGTGTTGCAATTTTCCGTTTTTGGTATTTGGCTCTAACAGTGTTGCTACTTGGTATTTAACAACTAAACATATATTTGGCATTTTTGGCTTTTGGTATTAACAATTACACATGTTAATAACTTTTCTTGCTTGCCCGCTGTGTTTGACTAAGCATCCACTTTATGATCACCGCATAGAAGTCTTGCGGCTGTGTGCCGCAGGCAAAGTCGACGACTGTGTCCACAGTGTCTTCGAAAGGATGTCCTTAAATCTGACTCACTGATCCAAGATGCTTTCCACTACCAACAAACCACTTACCTCGCAGGTTGAATGGGATAATGAAACTACTATCCATAACCAGTATATAAGGGTTCGCCAAATTTGATTGCGAGCTTTCGGGTAAAACGAGCTCAGCGTACTGTCCATTCCTTCCGGATCCCTCTTTGCAAGTTTTCGAGCTCGTGGATCTTGCAGACTCACACACACACACACACACGACACACCCACACACACGCACAACACACAAACAACACACACACGACACACACACACAACACACACACACACACGACACACCCACACACACACACAACACACAAACAACACACACACGACACACACACACAACACACACACACAACTCACACAACACACACACACACACGCACATCACACACACACAAACGCAACACACACACACACAGGACACACCCACACACACACACAACACACACAACACACACACACACAACACACACACACGACACACACACACACACAACACACACACAACACACACACACACCACACACACACACAACACACACGGTCAAGCCAGCGAGACAAGGGGAAGCTTCGCGGCAAGTAAAGTTGGAGCAGCCTTCTTGTGAAATCATGGGCTAGGCTCTCCTTCAAAACTATTGCATGGGTTACGCTAAAGAAAACATAATCTCATAGTATTTTACGTGTGCCGCATTATTAAACATGCCTGTTTGATTAATTGATTTCTTTTGTGCAAGGTGTGAGTAAGTCAGCTAAGTCAGCTAGTAAGTCCGATGCGTGTTGGCTCGTTGGTTAAGCACAGCTACCCGATGTATGAGGTTGTGTGCGTGTGTGCGTGTGTGCATGTTGTGTGTGTGTTGTGTGTGTTGTGTTGTAGAACGATGACAAGAGTATGAAACCACATTGTCTGTCAAACTACAAGCACCCCACGGACTTCGTGACTACCCCCCGTGCAAAGCTTTAACTTCTTGCTGGTTAGTGGCACGCTTGACGATGGATCCGGCCTTGCACCTCACCCAGCAAAAGCACATGAGGACAAGTGAGCGGGCCAAAGCCCAAATGATCAACGACGCCCAACGCAGCGAACGAAGCCCGCAAGCAGTGCCCCTGCGCCTCTATGGCAGGGTGTGGCGTAGCCAGAGAGATGCAACTTCTGCTAGGCGGCCAGGTCTGTTCAAATCTATTGGCCACATCCATGCACATATTGCTTTCGCTGGTGCAGTGAAGAGGATCTGCGTACCGGAATGCGCACTGTTGTCAAAGCAAAGACCAGAAAGACGAAAGCACTCAAAGGATCTGGTGGCTGTCGAAGCCACGTGGCGTGCCTCCCTGCTGTGCGCCAAGCAGTTACCCAGCCACACAGCCTACTGGCCATCAGGGAATGAATGCGACGTGCGTCTGACCAGCCGGTACATGTAGCACATGGACATGAACAAGTGAGAACATTGGGATGGGTAAGAGATACATCAGGTCTCCACCCATGACTATCCGCGTTTGCTTTGTAAATCACCTGTCCTATCCTCCTACCGTATGCTTCAATCAACGGCGACAACTTCCACACCTCTTCCAGATTGCTGCACACCAAGGGTTGGCTCAGGCCATCAAGAATGCTGGAACTTAAGGCCTCAGTATCGCCTTGAATGGGCGTCCAGCATTCCCTGCAAGGTTCCTAGCATCGCGTCCACACGGGACTTCCAAATACCAGCCTGTCTGAATTGTTCGCAATGCCCCATCCCAACTTTAAAAAGTGGGTAACTACCCAAAAAACCCAGTCTACTCGCTTCCCCAGATGGGGTGAACACAGTCTGAACTGGTTGGCCACGAAAGTTGTCTTCCCAACACCTCCGGAAGTGAGACCTTTGTGGCTCGAAGCACCAAGCTGACCAGACCTCCAGCCGCGAAGCTTGCAGATGTGCCACCGCATGCGACGCGCCGCAGCCTGAGGCGAGAATTGGTTGGAGGGCACTTGACGCAGTCTGCTGGAAATGATCCGAAGGATCCCAAAGAGGTCCAACAAAAACAGAGGCGCCCCTAAGAATGGCGGTTCTTGGGGGGTTGCTGCCAGTTTGTAGGAGCGGAAGCCGCCCGGAAAAACCGCCGCCGCCAACAAAAGTCTGACAAACCAAATGACAAAGCCGATGACGGCAGTATGACCCACCCACCTTGTGGTTGCGGTGGGGAGCAAGGACCTAAGGATGAGCAGAACAATTCAGCTACAGGCAACACAGTTGAGTGAAACTTGATGGCAAAATCCTCCCACCCCCAGGTTGATATCATCATCCCTTGCTTGCCCCAAGGAGCATTGTGCCATACCCATCCTGTTTTCTTATCACCCCCCTTACACCCAAATAACAAACTTGTCTAATTGGCACGTGCCTCCAGCTGATACTATTGTTGCCAAAGCAAACCAGGCGACGTTGGGGCAACACAACTCACAAATCCGATCGGTCATCCTTAGACCTCGCTAGAACCTTCCGAGCATCTAACGCAAGCGGTTTCACGCACCGCTTGGCATGGATGAAACGGGAAAAGCCGCCCAACTGATGCGGAGTGGTTTTCGTCCACATGGACCTGTAAAAAGTGAGGTGGTGTGTTTCCCTGGAGCCTTCCCCCCTCTACCCCCCCTTGGAGGTCCATGACACATGATTGTCCTAGAGCGAAAAACAAAAACCGGGGACTGGTGAACGCGGCCATCACGGAGATTTCGCCGGGAAAGCCAAAATATCTCCGTACAAGGACCTTTCGGACGACTCCCATGTGTGTAGCATCCTAGAACGCATTTGGGCGCGTCTTTTCTGAGGGTACCTGTTCTTTTGTGGATTGAAAAGAAACCCAAAAGAAGATTAACGCCATTTTTGGGGCTTTTTAAAAAAGACGACCCCCATGCGGGGTCACAGAATTCAAAAGCACCCCGCACCCGGCTGCGCTTTTTCCACGCAAATGCTACAGGCAGGGCTGGCTCGCTCGGGTTTCTTGTTCGACTGTGCAGGTCAAAGCCAAGTTTGGACCTGGAAAAGGTGAGCACCTTTGTGGGTGACTAAACGTGGAAACCAAATGGTTGTCGGTCAAAACCGTTTTGGGATCCCATTTTGGTAGGTGAATTCACCACCCATTTCAGAACCTATTTTAGTGGGGATTGGGATGTTCACTGCGGGTACGGGCTTTTGACCCATGGCCAACTAAGTAGAGAAACAAAACAAGGGTCGAAAGGTCGTCTTGTTTGGACAAGTGAGAGGCAGCACGGCAGTAGTGCGTCATCCAGCGGTCGGTGAATCACATGTGTAGATATCAGGCCACCAATGACAAGAATGACTTGGTGGAACCAACTTCGTTGGGGTGCCTCTGTATGTAAGGGGCCCCACCGGTGTGAGCACACCACACACACACACACACACACACACACGCACATACAGACCCCGCAAAAATGGCGGTCTTCCGCTTTGTTTCTTGCTCAAGCCGGCCCGAAAGGGAGTTGACCTGGCCTGAGCACATATCTGTACTAGTTATTACCTCCTAGTCACTTCCAAGTACGAACGCTTCTTAAGGGCGTGATGCTAACCCCTGACTAAAACACATTTACCATGAACAAACAGTTTTTTCCAGAACAACCCCCCCTAACAGCAGGTAATTGGAGGTTTCGGCTTCATATCTGTTCAACCAAATCCGTAAGGAACCTTTGTGAGGACCGAGGACTCAATTCAGGATTTCGATGAGGTTTTCGACAAAGCACCAGACATGAAACTGGGTCGATTTTGCAACCGCCTTCTTTAGCTTGGTCTTTTGGCTATGTGTGTTACAAAGACAGCAAAAGGAAACCACCCCAAAAATGGAGGTCTCTCATGAAATCCACCTCATTCCACCCTATTCCACCCTACAAAAGAGCACCAAAGTGCGGGTCTTTCCACCAACCCTTTGTATTTGGAGTATAGAGTGTACCTGGATCTCCTGGAAGTTAAGAATTCCTGCTCCAAAATTGAAAAAGTACTTTTTGGCCTGAGGACACGGGCATTTCCACTTTCGAACGGGTATTTCTACTCTTGAACGGATATTTTCACTACCATCGAAGTGTTCATAAATCAGCACTGCACATATATTATGAAAGGCTTATTGCGCAATGTTGGCGTATTTTTTACGTACCTCCGAACGGGTCCGAACGGGTCCTAACGGGCACGAACGGGTTCGAACGGGTTCGAACGGGTTTCGAACGGGTTTCGAACGGGTTCCGAACGGGTTCCGAACGGGTCCGAACGCATGCCTGAGCAGTCGGAACTACCCGAACGGGCATTTTAACACGGAGTGAAAATTATCACTCCAGCATGGAAGAAAGTACTTTTTTCTTTTTGGAGTGGGAATTATTAACTTTCAAGAGATGCAGGTAGCGTTTGGGACTGGGGAAACGGTTGCCTTACTTGCCCAAAGGACCTGGGGGTAAAAGGGTTGGGTTGGACCATGACTAAAACTGGACCAAAATCCGAAAACCCAAAGGTCAAGAGGTCGGCTAAAGCCAATTTCGCGGCAAAGGTCCTCACTATTCCCGCGACTCGCTGGACGCTCGAGGCTTCGAGTCCCTGCAACTTCAAGAGGTGAAACTTCTTTGGAAACTGAAGGCCACCAAAGTCCACCCCCCAGATCTTCGAAGCTTTCTGGGGGGCGCATGGGGTTCCTCACAGTTGACAAGGTTGTGTTTCGTCACGGCGCAGAGAGATCGAGTTGGCAGTTGGCAGCACCGACGTCCAACTCAGGTGGGGAATGCTGCCCTTTTCACCAAGTGTAGGGAAACTTCAACAGGACACCCAGATTTGGGGGTCCGGAGCTTCAAAATACAGGAGTGATTTCATGTCGATCTTGTGCCCTTAAGCCTCAAGCTTTCACCTCGCTCTTTCCCCATACGAGAAAAACCTGAAGTTTGGATGGTGACAGGTGTGAACCAGCCAAATACTCCAGCCATGGACCAAGCAAACTGGTAGGCCTTCTCGAGCGTACCCCTTTCAGGTTGGTTTAAAGCCTCCTTTCACAGCAAACCAATGCCAAAGCTGATTTAGGATAACGTTCTAAGGGTAACTTCCCCATTCTTTCCAGGGATCCTTCTTTCTAGGAAACCACAAGAAACCCTGGGGAAATGGCTTGTCTTTGAAAAGAACGATGGCTGAGAAGAATGGGGAATCAACCCCTAGAAATGTGTGCTTTGTTGTCGGGACGTGTTTCTCAGGGGAAGTTTCCGACGTTCCAAGTACCTCACATTGGATTTGAAGAAAAACATGTGGGGAATTGTACCTTGCCCCAAGCATGACTGGACCCTCCATTGGGTCGAGTCAGGACCCCGATTGCAAGGATCTGGGCCTCAAAAAGGGTCATTGTGAGATAGAATTATTGTAATCATTCCCGACACCGCAAAGCTATTGACTCCCTAGTGCATCCTAGGACATTTAGCTGGTCCTTTGCTGATCCAACCATCCCCAGTCCCTGCTGCTCAACCAGTGACCCAGCCAATTTAGCACAACGGTTCGGTGGATTCCACGGAGTAACGCGAACATGTAAATCCGCCTTTCACACTTTCTTTTCTTTGGGGGGGGTTACCCACGCCTTCTCCAAAAGGTTAGTAGGTGGTTTTCTGGGACCCTGGGATGGTTTTCCGGGGCTTCATCAAAATCCAAGAGCTACCCACCAAATCCACACTTCTGGGGTCAGGGCCTCACTTCCTGAGTGGATTGGCCAAAAATCTACGGTCCACCATTTCTTATCCCCCATCAAATGTTTAAGAAATGTTCCAGACCCTAGTCAATACACGCGGCTCTCTCAACATACCGATAGCCAGTATACAAACGGATTGTTTACAACCAAAATGGTCCAAGCCGAAACAGGATGAAGCGCAGGAAGGTTGGGGAGTGAGGTGCTCCGGAAGCCCTTGCTTTGGTTTCGGGCCTGAAATTGAGTGCCCCTGATCCGCACTCCGAACTAAGAAAAAACCGCAGTGGCCCCCTTTACAGTATTTCTCTTGCACCTGCAAAGGGAATATGGGGAAGGGTCTCTTGATGGCCCCACTTCTATACATGAGGGGCGGGGAAGAGAGAAATATCCCGAACGAAATACTGAGTGGACGCCGTGCAATTGAATGGGCCGCACGCCTGACAGTCTGACAGCGTGGGTCCAAGCGTAGCTTGGATACGGCAAGATCGAAGTCTCGAAGGAGGTACTAGTTGTTGGGCTACTGATCTGCTACTTGTGGAAATCAGGGTGCCGTCTCACAATGCAACATAACAGGAGTGGAATTGTCAAACAACGTAACAACACTTTTGTTGTTTATCACTCAAATGGTCCAACCGGAAAAAGCTTCAATGTCTGATGCGGGCATAATCAAGAACTGAGATGAACAATGGGCCCGAAAGAAACTCACTTCCCATTGACCGGAGCCGAAAAAGGAACTGCACACTTGCTGGTCGCCGCTAAGATGGTCCGACGCTAACTAACTCTCGTTTGCCCAGAGGACTTGGAAATCAAAGGTTACCCTTTCGGGACCTCTACTAAAAATGAACAAAAACGGGGAAACCATCCTTCCTTCGTGCCAAGTCCCCCGTGATGTTGCCACCCTTGCAGTCCTCAACAGGCAGAGCAGCTGATGGGTCTTCTCACACAGCGGTGCTAAAAAAAATATCCGTCAGCTCTTAACAGCGGCATAGGGTTGTGTTTTAAGGCCGCGGCTGCCCAGTCTTTTGCTTCGCTATGCCGAGCTTGAGCTGGCTGGGGGGCTTGGGCCAGATTTTGCTGGCTAGTTAATTCGAGAGTTGTGCAGTTGTGCGTTGGCTGCGTCAGACAGACTCGTCGCGACTGGAATCCAAGAGCCTTCTCGCATTTGACACATTGGCAATTAGACGTGCAGCGGGCCTGTCCCCAAAAGCGTATTGTGATGCCTGGCAGTTGCATAGCCAAAGAATCTGGACA